TAACTAGAGATTTTGAGGGTCTCTCAGGCCTTTTTTATGGGTATGCCCACCCCACTGCTCCTTTTTCCTCCTATGAGGAAGTCCTGGGATTGTATGTCTTCTCTTGATCCTGTTAAGTCAGGCCAGGTGTTGAGAGCCTCCTCTTTATCTTTCACATGGCAATGCCCTGAAGTATTTAATCTTGTGTACCTTTTCCCAGTCCTGCAGAGTTGAACTGGCTGCTGATATACACGCACTCTCTGTGAGTATTTGCTTGCACCATCTCAGCAGTGCACATAGAATGAAGAGGGTGCAAATTAGCCTGTAGGGGACAGTGCAGATGAGGTTTTCCATAGAGCTCACAGGAGGGCCTCTTGGTGGAGTCCATAAGCCACTTAGTAGGATATATGGCCATGTTTTGAGATCTTCACGGTGGTTGTTTCGAAGCCTCATCCCTTCTTACCTGCTCCTAGTTCCCCTCAAGACTATTTAGTCATGCCAGTCACCTCAGTAATCTGGGAGTGGGAAGACCAATGTAAGCCTCTTGGGTACCATTCCATAAGACTGGGGAAGCTAGACCCTCACTCAGCTCTCACTTCTCCCTGTGGGAGAAATCATGGGCCTGTGAGATCTCCCTCGGCCCTAGGCTATGCTGCCTTAGAAGAGAGTGATGTGGGTAAAGTGTAACTGTTGCTACCCACCTCAATGTGTTTATCTTCAAACTTTTTTTCCATGAACAGGGTTCTAGAATCTCTCCACTAGACTTCCGGTTTCCCACAGATGCATACAATTCCTAGATCATTGTTAAAATTGCTGTTGCTGTGGGGGTGTGAGGGCTGGAGTCTCTTATTCCATTATCTTGCTGATGTCCCTCTGGCCTTTTTACTTTTCAATAAAATATTTTCATGTCACAAAAAGTTACCTTTGTGAGTGTTTTATTTTTGTTTGTACAAATTCCCTTAAGTACTAATGTTTCTCTGTCCTAAAAAATTATACCTTGTAAATATATATACAAATTACTCAGCTTCATACTACTGTGCCATAATCCATTGAAGGCCTAATTCAATTATTTTAATTTGGTATGAAGACAATGGTAAATATAAGCACACAGATAGGTACTGAGATGATATAGTTCTGTAATGAGTAATAAAATGATAATCAAAATAATTCAGAATATACAGTTTTCCCTTTGTATCTGTGGGGAATTGGCTCCAGGGCCTCCCATAGGTAGCAAAATTCATGAATACCCAAGTCCCTGATACGAAATTGTGTAATATTTACATATAATCTATGAACATCCTCCTCTATGCTTTTAGTCATCTCTGGATCACTTATAATACCTAATACAATGTAAATGTTGTATAAATAGTTGTTACACTGTATTGTTTAGGTAATAATGACAAAAAAAACCTGTACATGTTCAGTAAAGACACATTTTTTCCCAAATATTTTTAATCTAGGGTTTTTATTCCATAGCTGTGGAATACAAAGGGCTGACTATATTTATATTTTACATATATTAAACTGCTCAGAGAGAATTCACACTGCCAGAAATTTGCCATGGATCTCAGTTTAAGAAACATTGTGCTAGACCACTGTTTCCCAGGAACATGTTTTATTTCGTAGAAACCGTAATTACAGGACCTAACTGGAATATACTTGGTACTAGTTAAATGCTTGTTTAATTGAAAATTTCATGGATTTAAAGCAACCTAGATGTCATAGGAAATCATTAAATAGAGATTTTTCTCAACTAGCTCAACTCTTTTGTCCTTACGTTTCTCCAAAGTCCAAATATCTTTCACATACAGCTGTATTCGTCTGTTCTCGCACTGCTAAAAAGAAACATCTGAGACTGGGTCGTTTATCAAAAAAAAAAATAAGGTTTAATTGGCTCATGGTTCTGCAAGCTGTACAGGAAGCATGGCGGCACATGCTTTTGGGGAGGTCTCAGGGAGCTTTCAATCATAGCGGAAGGCAAAGTGGGAACAGGCACTCTACATGGCTGGAGCAGGAAGAAGAAAGAGATGAGGGAGGTGTACACACTTTTAAACAACCAGATCTCACAAGAACTCACTCACTATCTTAAGGACAGTACCAAGACGGAAATGTGCCTCCATGATCTAATCACCTCCTGCCAGGCCCCACCTCCCACACTGGGGATTACAATTCAACATGAGATTTGGGGAGGGACAGAGATCCAAACCATGTCGATGGCTTTCAAATTTATCATCTTCATTTCAGCTAGCTGGATGGGAAAAAGAACATGGAAGGTTTTGATGGGCCCAGGCTAGTAGTGGCAAATAGCACTTTTGCCCTTTTTTCCATTGACTAAATTTCTATTACATGGCTACACTGCAAGAGAGACTATAGTTGTAGTCTGGAGGTCTATCAAGAAAAATTTGAAAATTTGTATTTTGATCAGCAGTCATATATGCTACAGAGCTTTAGGTAGTGTAGTCACAACCAGTAGTGTGTGGGACAAAGAGTACATTGTATTAGTCAGTGCAGGCTCTGGAATCAGTCATTAATATTGGAATCCAAGTGATGTCATTTTCCTGTCAGTTCTACATGAATAAAATGGATATTTTATACCTACTCCATGGATTTGGTGAAAAGATTAAATGGGATAATAGATTCATTAGACTTATAATAGTACCTAGCACATGACCATTATTAGGTAATTATTAATTTTTCTTAAATACTAATAATTATCAGCTACTATAATTGGCATGTGAAATAAAGCCTGGTTTCTATCTCTGCTTAGGAAAACAAAAGTATTAATGAAACAACCAAAATATCTTCAACAAAAGAACCATGTGCTATACAAATTTACTTTTGTTGTGTAAAAAACATTTATATAAAATCTTCCTGGACTTCAATAAGACTTTTAGTTTGGGGTCTGAGCAACAAGATAGGAATGTGTGATATAAACCATGCCACTCTAAGCACATCTCTGACTCAAGTATTTTGGTAGAATTATCTATATCTATATATCTCATAAATAATTATTGAGGTAGAAATATATGTAAAGTTAAAAATCACACCCATGTCCCCCACTCCAATTTGGCAATATCCTAACTGAATAGTCAGTAGGATGGATATAAAATTATCTTTTTCATTATGAATTAAACTGAATTGGAAAATCCAGCTTGGGTGCATAGTCAAATTGGCTCCTGATGCTACAGACTCATCCATTGAATTGACTGCCAATGCTACAGACTCATCCCCTGCCATCACTCCACTGGGGGCTGAGCCTGCCATCTTAAACTTCGCTTGTGAAGGCTTATTAAGTTGAAGGCCTAAAAGGCCACGAATGGACACTTCTTCTCAATTCATTAATCTCAATTCACTAATCACATAGTCATTCCTGTTTTCTTAGGGAGAATTGACTAAACAGACAAAGATGTTTGGAAAATTACTTTTTCTTACTCTGTGCCTCAGTAGGGCAGACATTCTATGTCCTGGTCATAGAAAAGGTAGTAGGGGAAGAAAATTGTTCTCACTGATATGCCCCCCTCCCAGTGATATAAATATATGATCTATATAATCAATCTTTTCTAAGTATTGAAAATTTTGAGGGTAAACATTGCACTTTTAGGTAATGATATGAAAGTGGTAATAATGGTGCCTCAGAAAACAATATAATTCAGTGAGGTTAAACAATGAAATTTACTCTTTTCAAAAAAGAAAGGGAGTAATAGAGGGCAAAACAACCTAGAAACAGGATCAGAAGAATATCATTAAAAATAAACATTACGAACATTTGAGAGGCACCCTGGTTTATGTTATTTCTGTGACCATCATTTTAAAAGCAAATATATATTAGAAATGTGTTAGTAGGAATAAGGTAAATAAAAATAAGTAGATTTTTATTTTATATTTTACAAGATATGTAAGAAAGTATAAATATATTGAGGATTCTTTCAAGTCATATGACAGTGTTACATTCAATTCTGACAAGTAAGTACAAAACAGAATGTAGAACAAATAGGAAGTTTCCATACAAAATATAAAAATGAAATGAGCAGGGCATGGTGGCTCACACTTGTAATCCCAACACTTTGGGAGGTCAAGGTGGGCAGATCATGAGGTCAAGAGATCAAGACCATCCTGACCAACATGGTGAAACCCATCTCTACTAAAAATGCAAAAATTAGCTGGGTGTGGTGGCGCACACCTGTAGTCCCAGCTACTCAGGAGGCTGAGGCAGGAGAATTGCATGAACCCAGGAGGTGGAGGTTGCAGTGAGCCAAGATCACACCACTGCACTCCAGCCTGGATACAGAGCAAGACTCCATCTCAATAAATAAATAAATATCAAATGCTTGAAGGCAATATTCAAAAATAGAAAGTGCATATGTGTGCTTTGAAACAGACAAATTTGGGTTGAAATATTAGCCCTGTGGCATATTAGTTTCAAGACTTTAATGATGCTATCTGACCTCCCCTAGTCTTTTTGCTTTGTCCATAAAATGAGAGCAACTTCATATGGGGGTTGTGATAGCATAGATTACCTCATGTGTGGCCCACGGTAACCACTCAAATATAAATAGTTTCCTCACTCCGTGAGAAACATATTATTGAGGAAAAAAATGGAGCCTGAAAGAAATGAATTTATTTGGAATTGTTTTGAATGAAAGAGGTGATTTACTGTGCTCTCCCTTCCAGTAAACAGTCTCTTAATACCCCGAAGAACCTGCACTAGAACAAATAGCCTTAAATTGCATCAATTTTCATCTTGACTTCCTGGGAATGTAATAGTACTATAATAGGCCCTAGGTCTTCTGTGTCCAGAAAATCATGCAAAACCATCATATATGTGTGTCTAACTGATTTGAGAATAACCCAATGTAATCTCTTGTGCAAGAATTTTCATCTCAAATGTGTTCTACATGGTTGTATGGCAAGTTTGTTCCCCACTTATCTTATGACTGAACTTCCCCAAATAGTTCTTAAACTATATTTATCAATTTCATGCATTATACATCTTAATTCCTAATATATGTTTATTTTTATAGCTTTTACAACTGGGACGCTGATATTGCTGTTTGTAATTCAAGTCCCAACTATCAAGTGATTGCCGATAATCCAGAAGGCTTACTTTTCAGATACAAAAGAGACAGAAAAATTCTCAATGTGGACCCAAAGGTAATTCTTCTTTTACACTTATGTATCTCTTCACCTGTTATTGTATTTCTGCCACTATTCAAAAAATCTGTTAAGTATCTGACACTCTTAAGTTGTTAAATTTAGAAAGGAAATAGCACTTTGAAACTTAGAGCATGTACTACCTTTTAAAAGCCACTCCATAGCTTCATAAATTATTAGAAATTAATAAGAAAGAGTTTAGGGGGAATTTAAATAGAACTCACAAGTGGAAACACTTCTCCATGCCTAGCATAGAGTTGCACCAGGGAGCCAGTAGGCAGCGCAGGTGCTTCCCTTGATCCTGGAGATGTCCAGCCACTTGTTACTGTTAGTGGGGAGGAGGGTCATTTAGAGAAGGGAGATTCTCACCTTACATTTGTACTCAGAATTCTAATAACCCTCTGTGTATGTGACCAACACTAAAAATGGTTTGGTTCTTAATGTACTTCTAAGTGTTAATTTGGAAAACACTTTTATTTAAATATTTTAAAGACACGTCTCATGATATTTTGAATTTGTTCAAAGACAAATACTTACATCTTGCATATTTTCAAAGACTGCATTTGAATCATGACTTTTTATTATGATTTGTCATATGTCTAGGGATGGAAGTTGCAACTTTGCTTGAAGTCATTATGTGTTTGACTTGTATCGGTGGGTTTCATTTTGTTGTTGTTTTTAAATTTTGAAAACTATGATTCACATGAAAGCATCAGTATAAACTCCAAAAGCAAGAAAGATTCTTTCATAGTAAAATAAATAAAAATTTTGTGATACACATGGAATATGGATAAGGATGGGCCAAAGGAAAGGGGAGTCAGGTTATAAAAACTTTTCCAAAAATTTTTAGAAAACCAAAGTCAAAAATCTAATCTGTATTTCATATCCACTTAGTACTGTTCCTTGTACATAAAAAATGCTAAATAGGCCAGGCACAGTGGCTCACGCCTGTAATGCCAACACTTTGGGAGGCTGAGGCAGGCAGAGCACCTGAGGTTGGGAGTTCGAGACCAGCCTGGCAAACATGGAGAAACCCCATCTCTACCAAAAATACAAAATTATCCAGGCGTGCTGGTGCATGCCTGTAATCCCAGGTATTCAGGAGGCTGAGGCAGGAGAATGGCTTGAACCTTGAACCTGGGAGGTGGAACTCTGTCTCAAAAAAAAAAGAAAAAAAAAAGCTAAATAACCATGTGTTTACAGAATTCATGACCAAAATTCTGTAGCAAGAAATAGATGATTACCTGAAATGAGACTCAGCCACAAATATCAGAAATGCCTAGGTAGTAATTTAAACAGGATAGAAGCTGTTTTCTCTTCCACATGTAAGTGTAGATAGTGACAGTCCAAGGTTTAAATGACAGCTCCACAGTCATCTGGGCCAGAGTAATCCTCATGTTCTTGGGCCAAAATAGGTCTCCAGCCAAAACAACCACATTCAAAACATAATGCATGGATGGGGTTGAGAGGGTACAAAGAACATTCCCCTGATGCCTTTAAAGGGAATTTCCAAAAAGCTACCGCACAAACGTTCACTTATGTTCCATTGTAAGAAGTTAGTCTTACGGAGATGATTAGCTACATGCAAAGCTGGGAAATACAATCTTAATTCAAATGACCATGCACCCAGCTAAAAACAGGTATTCTGAGAAAGGGAGAAGAGAGGTTTAAGTAGACAACTAGCAGGTTCTAACACAATGCTATCTCCTTCAAAATAACAATACTCTTATTTGGTCTCAGATTTCTCATTAGTGAAATGAAGTACTGGATCAGAGAGTTTTTAGGGCTGTATTTATTATGAATCTATACCAGAGGAGTTTATCAACATACCTTCTCTCTAGTGGTTCTTCTTTACTTATGGGTGTCAAAATTAGATCAGTTGGGACAAAGTACAGAAAACTTAATAAATAGCATTTCCAGAGTCATTTCCTTAGAAGTCTAAACTATATAAATAAGAAAAGATTTTAAATTATGAACACTCTTGTTAAGATGTGCAAAACAAATATTTGAATCAATTTTGAATGACATCATATTTAAACTATTTTAGGGCTGTATTTTAACTAATGGCATATTTCAAGAATGCATGTCATGATTTGTAGTTTTTACAGTCTTTGGGGAATCATTATTGAATGCGAACTGTTGCTTAAACATGGTTGAAATAATTTTAACTAAAACTCAAACTTTCAAAGTAGTCAACCATGAGATTTCAACATGACATATAACATTTGTCTCTTTTTTTCTGAAAGATTTTGATTAGATTTTATGATACATTTGAAGAAATTTTTTTCCACCTCTTGAATAAAGAGCAAGCATTTGGTTAATGAGTGGTAAGAGTAAGAATTATTAGGCAAGACATACAACAACATTTGGATACGTATATTTCTTTAAATTTTAATTTTATCTTATGGAAAGTAAAAATTAATAGTAGACTTATGAAAAGAAATGTTGGTCTCAGCATTAGTAAACAGAGTCCTAGGCTTTACTATTAATTGGCTGCATGACCTTGATAAATTCAGTTAACTTCCCTGGGTTTTAGTGGTCACAACTAGAAGATAGAGGGTTTTTGTAGTAGTTGCTGTTGTTTGTTTTGTTTCTTTCTGATCTCTAGAGTTCCTTTAAAGTACCAGGCCCAATTTGTAGAGATTCTGCCTCAACTGGGACCAGAAGTACATATTTTAATAAGCAGCCAGTGTGATTCTGCTACAGGTTGTTCATGAACTGCAATTTGAGGGAAATCTCCATAAAAAGTCAATAGTCTAAAAACATCTGGCATTCTATTCTCAAAAAAAAGTAGAAAAACACTTATATATTTTAATTATTGTGGACAAGATGTATTGTACATGGCTACAAAATTTCTTAACTTATTCTCTCTTCAAAGATCCAAGATCTTTTGTGTTTCATGCATCCAACATAAAATTTCTTATAGACCTGAGGAAGAACCAAGAAATAACCAAAATAAGTATCTCTAGTTACTTTAATAACTACTAATACATATTGATAGAAATTACATTTTTATACTCAATATTTTTCTTAGCAATTTTTATTGAAATCCTTCCTAAGGTGAACATCTCATAAATCCAGTAGTTAAAGAGCTGTAAAATACTGTAAGAGCAACTCAGCTCTCCTTTTCTTCTCCTTCATGTACCCTCTTTGAAATACTTTACACTTAAAATTAAAGAGGTCAAGATCAATTAAAGGTGGAAACAGTGATAAACAGGATGTGTTTACTTTGTCCAACACAGATGTGGACTCGTTAATTCTGAAGTATGTTTCCCACGAAAGGCAATTGTTTGGGAATGGTAACAGTGGAAAAAGAAACTTGTACAGGTCTTACAACAAGTAATATGAGTTCATTGGTTAAGAAATTCCAAATGCAGTAAGAGTTTGGTTGCATTGAAAACAGGACCACTGGCTTTAACTTCCCTGCAGCTGTATAACATCTGGAACAAATAAGCCAAGTTTCTATTTTTGAGTGAAGAATGCTTGTTTGAGTGATTCACACCCACCAAAATGTTTCCAGTGTATTATCTTTAGAAGAATTAAATGGAAGCACTTTGCACTCTGTCCAATATATTATCTGGACAAATTTTTTAAATAGGCTTTTTTTTTTTTTTTGGCTTTAAAAAAACACCAACCATGGGATAGTTTGCTTTGACTCTTACCGTAGCATAAGTGGTCTAAAACTGGCATGAACCACTAATAAGGCAAGAAAGAGAAAGAGAGCGATTGTATATAATAGTTACAACAAAAAGTATATATATTTCTTGGTTACACCAAGAATACACCAAGAAATATTTCCCATTTCTGAGAGGCCATCACCTGGAAAAATGCCTTGCTAATGAATATTCGATAAATGTTCATTAAATTGATGATTGAATAGATCCTTCCCTCCAAAAGCAATAATAACAACCATAATAATAGTAATAGTGCTACACTAATTAAAAGTTAATGAGTAAATTATGTTAGTTATTTGATACAGCAGTGATAGCAGATATGGGTATAGTCATTTCCCTCTATACTAACACAAATAAGTCACAAAAATGCAAGAATTTATTGCTGAAATCAGATTTTGTAGCAACTATGCAGAAATATATATTTTGGTCTACGCTTTTATACCTTCTTGTGCAGTCCCAGGAGTATGTAATTTAAACTATCTCAAATTAAGAGTATTGAATTAGAACATGATTTTGATTTATGAACAGACTTCAACAGATTAAATGACTCACTCACGGTCAACAGTTAATTATTAGTAGAAACCATCAATGAAGCTTAAAATTATGAAACACATGGGGAGGTGAAGATAAGCAAAACTTCAGTATTTGCCCTTTAAGTGCTCTTAGTGTTTTCAGGAAAATAAGTCAAAACATCACTGCAGTATAAGGCAAAAAGTGGTACATTGCACAGGAGAGAAATACTTTTGGAATTCAGTGGAAGAAGAGATGATTTTTGATCTGGGGACAGGAGCTAGTGGAAAGGAATGGTGAAGGGAGAGCATTGGAGATAATGTTAAGTGATAATAGAGGAAGTAAACTTTTAGTGGAGACTTAAAGAATGATTAGAAATTGAACTAGACAGGGGAGAATTGAACACATAAGGAGAGAATGGCAGTCAATATCAGGAATTAAACCTATTACCCAAGATAAGATTCACAAGTGTAAAACAGACAAGGGAAAACCCAAATAGTTCAGTCTGGCTTCTGCATTGGCTTGAAGGAGTGAAGTGGGAATTAAGCCTGGAGAGGTCATCAGAAACTGACTGCAGGACTGAGGCAGATCTTGGACTGGACTTAAGAGGAAATGGGGAAATATGCCAAACATCTTGTGCAGATAAATAACAGGATGAAAGTAAGGCTTTAATGTTAGAAGGTGTACAGTAGTACCGATGAGGGAGGAAAAACTGGAGAAGACAAGCAGAGTAACAGTAATCCAGGTGAAAAGTAAAAAGGACTGGAAGTAGAGGTCCTGCTGTAGTTGGCAAATTTCAAGTTAATGCTTTCAATA